CCAGACAGGGTGGCATGTACCTGCAGTCCCAGCTACTTGGGAGGCTGAGGCAGAAGAGTTGCTTGAACCTGGGAGGCAGAGACTGCAGTGAGCCGAGATCATGCCCCTGCACTCCAGTATGGGTGACAGAGCGAGACCCTGTCTCAAGAAAATAAAAAGTAATAAAAATAAAGTCCATGGAGAGTAGAGAGAGGGAGAAGAGAAGAGCGCCAAGGACAGAGCCTGCAGGACCACCACCTTTATGTCTTGACTTGAGCCTGGGAAGGAGAAGGAAAATGGTGAAGTTACAGGAAGAAACTCTGCAAGGCATACTGCTGCACAAGCTGCAGAGGACAGGGATTGAAAATGATTTTTTTTTTTTTGGTGACAAATTCCACTCTGTCACCCAGGCTGGAGTGCAGTGGTGCCATCATAGCTCGCGGCAGCCTCAAACTCCTGGGCTCAAGTGATCCTTCCATCTTGGCCTCTAGAGTAGCTGGGACTACAGGTGTGAGCCATCATGCCTGGCTGATTTTTACATTTTAAACAGTTGGAAAAAAAAAATCAATAGAAGAATCGTATTTTTTGACATGTAAAAATTAATGAAATTCAAATTTCAGGCTGGCTGCAGTGGCTCACGCCCATAATCCTAGCACTTTGGGAGGCTGAAGTTGGAGGTTTACTTGAAGCCAGGAGTTCAACACCAATCTGGGCAACATAGCAAGATCCCATCTCTACAAAAGTATTTTTAAAATTAGCCAGGTGTGGTGACACACACCTATAGACCTAGCTACTCAGAAGGGTGAGGTAGAAGGATTGCTTGAGCACATGAGTTTGAGGCTGTAGTGAGCTACAACCATGACACTGCACTGCAGCCTGGATGACAGAGTGAGATCCTGTCTCAAAAGTAATACTAATAATAAATAAAAATGAAATGCAAATTTCAGTGTCTAGTAATACTTCTTATGGTTTTTTTTTGTTTTTTTGAGAAGGAGTCTTGCTGTGTCACCCAGGCTGGAGTGCAGTGGGGTAATATTGACTCACTGCAACCTCTGCCTCCCAGGTTCAAGCAATTCTCCTGCCTCAGCCTCCCGAGTAGCTGGGATTACAGGTGCCTGCCACCACGCTCAGCTAATTTTTGTATTTTTAGTAGAGATGGGGTTTCAACAAGTTCACCAGGCTGGTTTTGAACTCCTAAGCTCAGTTGATCCAACCTCCTCAGCCTCTCAAAGTGCTGGGATTACAGGTGTGAGTCATCACATCCCACCACAGCCACCGCACCCAGCCAATTAATACAATGTCTTTGTTACACAATATATGCCCTTCATGATCTGGCTCCTATGCCTATGTATTTTACCAACCTCATTCCCCACAAATACACATATATGCACACACATTTTTACACACACACACACTCACATTTTTTTTTGAGTTAGGGCCTCACTCTGTCATCAAGGCTGGAGTGCAGTGGTACAATCTCAGCTCACTGCAACCTCTGCCTCCTTGGCTCAAGCGATCCTCCCACTTCAGCCTCCTGAGCAGCCGGGACTACAGGCATGCATCGCGATGCCCAGCTTATTTTTGTATTTTTAGTAGAGACGGTGTTTTGTCATACTGTCCAGGCTGGTCTTGAACTTTTGGGCTAAAATGGTCCATGCTCCTCGGCCTCCCAAAGTGCTGGGACTACAGGCGTGAGCAACTGTGTCTGGTCACATGCACAATTTATGGCTCAAGGAATACTAAGAACTTGTTTCTTTTTTTCTTTTCTGAGATGGAGTCTTGCTCTGTCACCTAGGCTGGAGTGTAGAGCAGTGGCGCCATCTTGGCTCACTGCAACCTCCCCTTCCTGGGTTTAAGCAATTCTCCTCCCTCAGCGTCCTCAGTAGCTGGGACTGTAAGTGTGTGCCGTCACGTCCTGCTAATTTTTGTATTTTTAGTAGACATGGGGTTTTACTGTGTTAGCCAGGCTGGTCTGCAACTCCTGACCTCAGGTGATCCATCCGCCTCGACCTCCCAAAGTGCTGGGATTACCAGAGTGAGCTACCGCGCCTGGTCGGACTTGATTCTTAGGCATGTCATATGTGGGCTTTTTTCTTTTTTTTGAGACAGAGTCTTGCTCTGTCGCCCAGGCTGGAGTGCAGTGG